ATAGTGATGAAATAATTTACCTATTGGTGGAAATTGGCGTTGAATTGGTGAAACTGATGAAATCCAACCCATTTTGTATTTTGATCCTACCGAAAAAGTATTGTTTAGAATTAGCATAAAACTTTTTTGATTTATCAGTGAATTCTAACCTTAGCTTCAGTTGTGTTTGAGCCGTATGGTGGATTTTCTATAGCTGTTGTCAGTGCTTTTTCAGTATTACCTCTATAGACCGAAAAAAAAACTGTCATATATTAAAAACATTCATTTTTTATTACATTTGTTAAATTTCAAAGTACACCATTAAAACCCTCAAATAATTCGAATACCTTGTCAAAAAGTTTCTAACTTCAACCCCTTTCGCCTGAACATTTCTTAGCGCCACATCCGGCTCAAGCTCCTCACCGCCTGCGAACGTAAATAGTTCATGTTGAAATAACTGGTCTTCATCTAAGATGTCAACATCAGTGTTACGATAAGACATTCTTATATCGCAAATGTCTTTGGAAGAGAGATTAGGAACTTTATGTGATTGGATGGACTAAATGTTCTCACGTGAACATATACTGGAAAATTATTTGATTTGCATAGGAAGTTGTTAAAATCTAAAATCTCGTTGATTGGCTGCCGCAAGTGGCTTATCTTTAGTGAACACACATATCGGGGCCTTTTCGATAACGATAAGAATTGTTAAATTTTTGATGGACCCATTAGTTGAAAACTTGTTGAAAACTTCTCTGGATGACGAAGATCCAACAAGGTCACCGCATCTTTCAGACAATTCAGACATTTCCGAAGATGATTCTTCCAAAATAGAAAACGGCTTTGATGATTCTTCTAAAGTAAATAACTGCTTTGATTTATTTTTGATTTATTTATATTTTTAACAGAATTTTTAAACCCATTTCTATTAGTCTTTCTCCTTGTTGCAACATGGTGGTCGACAAACAGGTCCAAAAGGCGTTTTAGCTGATCATGAATATCATAAGCAATATACAAAACAACAAAAGGCTGCTTCAATAGCTGCATATAATGAACGCATGTTGTCAAAAGCCTTAACAACTACAACATACCGTGAAGATGAATTAAATAAATCTCTAGAGGAAGATTTAAAAGATTTAGAAAATATTAGTTCTGATGAAGAAGAAAAAGAAGCACTAAAAAAGTACCGAGAACAAAGATTAAGAGAAATTAAGGAAAATCAAAAGTTAAATAAAAAAAGATATGGAGCTCTAAGAGAAATATCTTCAAATCAATATGTTAAGGCTATAGACGATGAGGCACCGGACGTTTGTGTAATCATACATCTATATGAAAATGTATGTTTTTTTTTTTGTTTTTTTTTTTTTGACGTTTCTTTAAATTTCGCAAACGTAATTAACTTAGTTCTATTTCAACAAAAGTCGATTCCCCAATGTAAACTCTTAAATGAATGTTTGACTCATCTAGCTAAAAAATTTGTCCATTCAAAATTCCTGCGAATTCTGGCTCATGATTTAGATTTTGATCCAATTGGCCTTCCAGCTTTATTAGTTTATAAAAATGGAAAATTAATTGCAAACCTAGTTAAGATTACTGACGAAATTGGTGAAACAAATTTTGATTCTAATAATATTGAAGAAATTTTATTAAGGTTTGTTTTTTTTAAAATTATTGTTTAGAGAAGTTCTCCAGTATCTTATATTGAAATTTTCTCTTCAGGCATGGTGCATTGAATGTAACTGAAAGTATCGGCGAATAAGGTATGATTTGTTATTAGGAATGGAGGGTGTTATTTATTCTGTTATATACCGGAATATACCATAACACATTACAAAAAACATTGATATGACAATAATGTTGTTGGACTAACATCCAACTTAATAAATTGATATATTTTGTATATACCGGTATATGACATATATTACCAATAACTGCTTTTTGATTCTGGTAACGGTAAGTCTAAATGATAATATATTATCTTTTACCTTAATTTAATTTAATATTTACGAGATTGAAATTTTATGTAAAGAGATTTGTGCCGATAATTGTACTGTAATATCATATGCGGTTAATGTATTATTAGTCTGTCATTATTTAATTTGATTTATATTTCATGATTTATAATTCTTTTATTCGTTAAGTATTATCAAGTTGTTTATTCATTGTTGTAATATCGTAGTAGAAATTTTAATTTAATTGTATATCTTGAACTGATTTGGTACTGGACATCTGCCCGAAACACGTGCCTGAAATTCAAGGATTTTCTACGGTGATTCGGTGATTAAAACTTAATTCTGCAGTTATCGTTATTTATTCGTTCTCGATAATTCTGCAATATGTAGTAATTATATTTCGCACAAAAATTTGGTTTCTTAAAAAAAAAATATACATATATATATTAAATAAAATTAAATAAAATAAAGTATATATTTTAAACTTTACTAGTTTTTAGTTTTTTAATTGTTATAATATATATAATATATATATATATATATATATATATAGTATAGCTGAACTATAGATTGTCGGCTGAAGCTGGAAATTAAAACCTCGATTTAAATATAAGCCCTACCAAAATTCACTTATACTTTTTTATTATTAAAACTAACCTAAATTTCTAACCTATTAAAAAATGTTATCCCAAAAAATTTGAAAATTTCATCCTCAGCCGCGACATCACTGTAAATTTATGTCGTTAATACGTATATCAGATATTGTTATACGTATGTTAAATTAATACGTAGTATATAGTATTATATATATTTTTAAATAAATTTAAATTTTTTAATAAAACTTGTTTATATAATTATATGATATATACGTAAATGATACAGTACGTATACCTGATATAGTACGTACTTCTTGCTTGCTGTATATTATAATACTATCAGGTATCTAATACGTATTACTTTTAAATTATTAAAATTCCAGATACGTAGCAAATTAAAAGAAATATTAATGTTAAAAGATATACTGTATAATACAGTGTTAATTTTTCAATTAAAGTTTACTGTGCGGATGCCGCACAATTTATAGATCTTCTGTGCGGCAAATAACACGGGAAACTATTTGCAACTGTGCGCACTACTTGCAAAATGCCAATTTTTCTGTGCGGCATCCGCATATCTATTCAAAAAAGTGTGCGCAAAATTTTGTTTCTGTGTGCTGCGCACTGTATATATATATAAATTACGTTTTAAGTATGAAAATTTTAAATATCCATTGTTTTTGTTAATATACATACTGTAAAAGGTAATAAAATGACGAATGCATACATGCAAAATTACCCATCGGTTGTACAGCTGAGTGATGATGAAAAATCAATCGTCAATTGGAGGATTACGATGACGTTTTTTCATTCAAATTCATCAGGAATCATATTTCTTGGCTCCCAAACTTAAACTGAAATAGTCGCAGATACACTCGGCTAATTTTTTATTTTCATCAACTAATCTCACGTTATTAACATCTGTGAGGATCGAGAAATAAAGCTGAGACAGAAAGAAGGTTTAAAAAAAAACTTAAGATGGCACCACAGCCTCTCGTAAATCGCATTGGTACACTTGTTCAGGTACGTTCAGTCTTAGCTGCGTTCAAGTTATTACGCGAGCGGTTATGCTATCGTTTGTGGTTGCACAAGGTCATGGCTATTCTCACTTCTTTACTTTTTTACTTTTTTACCTCAGCACCCTCAATTCACTTGGTGGTGCGGTCATTGTATCGTATTTTTTTGTTTCGTTATTCATTTATACTACTGGATCACTTTTCGTGCTAGTGAAGGTGCAAGCTTTTATTACACTGCCTATTTGGGTGCCATGTTGAGTTATGGTGTCGTGATTTACAAATCATTTGGTGTAAGTTTTCATTTCAATTATCCTACTGTTCCTGTTTAGAACTGCACGTATGATATTCCTCAACTCGATACCTTGGAGCTCAATTTATAAAGTATTATTTTGATCTTCTATTTGGGAGAAAATTTTTCATTTTAACATGGAATGATTTCAATCTACAATTTACTTTGGATAGAACTTCTTGATTAGTCTTTTATTTTATAGTAGATCTTGTTAAAATATTATTGATCTTAGAAATTGTGCTAACTATATTCTGACTATATTCTGACTATATTCTGACCTTAAAATCAATAACAGACACCAGCACCAACCTGGGAATACTTTCAAAAGGTTAACAGAGACGAAAATGTATTTTATCTTGTGCTGGCATGCGTATGGTTTATGAATGCGCCAGTATTTGGTATGTAGATGTGTCCTTTGACTTTATAATTAATACGTAGTGTAACGTTATGATTACCGCATTTAACATTCTAGTAATTTTTAAATTATATATTCTTATTCCTTTGATTATGTAGTTACACTTTTACCTTATGCCACTTTTTCATTGTTTCATTTGATTACATATATACGGCAAAATATTATCCCAACATGTTTCCCATCGACAATTCATGGCCCTTCTTCTTCTTCTTCTTCTTCTTCTTCTTCTTCACATTCATCACCTACTTCTTCTTATGAACAATACGCAGTAAATGCTTCAAGATTCATTCAAAGTTGGGTTCATAAAAATTACGACAAAGCAATGAGAACTGTTAGTTTTGTTGAGGTTGTTGTGATTACTAACGTGTTAATTTGGAATGTTTTGACGTATGTACTTTTTTTTTGTGATCTTGCTATAAATATTCATTTTACGATGCTTAAATATATTTATCCATTTATCAGTTTTCATCTAAGGTTTTTCACATTATTTGTGTATTTCATATTTCTTCGTATGCGATATCATATGAATTCATATACGCAGCAAGCGTTTTCGGATGTAGCTCGATTTTTTAGATGGGTTGCTATTGCCTTCAGCAAATAACAGTATTCATCCTTACATCGCAAATTTGTATCGACAAGCCAAATCTGCAGTTATTTGGGCTGGTCAGTTTCAACCACAATCTGGCCGGTTTAATCCACAGACTTCAAATTCACGTTTTCAGTCGCGAGGAAACACGCACTAAAGCTTACGCGACTAATAATGAAAAAAAAATTGACTAAAGCTAATTTTCAGCTTAAACGGTCGATTTTTTTCAAATCGGCAGATTGATAATAATAATTCTCGCATAAGCTTTTGACCACTAAAAAAGTTGTTTTTTGTATATTTATTGAGTTATATTTTCTTGTAATATCAAATATACTTTATATCATTAGAGATGTAGTGCGTAAGTGATGTACTCAAATGGGTAGTTATTTTTTGTATATGGACTGAAATAAATAATAACATTTTAAGATGTCGTGATTAGAGCACTGAGTAGGCTATTTCAGGCCCAGTTTAAATGATCACCCCCAATTCAATACCAGTATATTTTATATTTTAAAATTGAGGTTTCAAATTTTAACATTAGTTAATTTTTTTAACCATGATGTATACAATATTGGGCAGATGATGAAAAAATTTCCTGTTATTTGTCGTATGCCCAATATTAATATTATCCGGCAGATATATATGACCATGCCTTGATGTTTTGCATAAATGATTACGTAACCTCATGCAAAAAATATCATGGCAAAAAAAATTCACATGATCATATAAATGCCGGATAAAATTATTTATCCGACAAACTCATATGATCATGAAAAACTTTATTTTTTTCAGTGTTTACGATGTAATTATGTTTTTCCAATATTCAAAAAAAAAAAACTTTATATTCAGAAAAAATGGCCACACAACTTCCTGATAATTTTGAACCCAAGTTTAAAGTTGCACTCGGTCCAATAGGTACATGTACAATAAATATTAAGTGGGGTGATACGTTCGAAATAGTTAAAAGTAAAATTGAGAATCAGTTAAATATCCCCGTCAATCGTATTGCTAGTATTCAACCAGGAGAGAGGTTTTCTGAAAATTTTACCCCCGAAGAATTTGAATCCGTAGTAATGGAACAAATATTTTTTTATTTGTATTCGCATTAGGCCGTTCGAAGTTAATTCTTCGGTTAACATCACCTTTAGAACTCTTGGGAGGAGGGGGGGGGGGGGGGGAAAAGGAAACGAACATATAAAAATGGGCCAATTGCGTTGGTCGGC